CCCCCCCCCCCCCCCCCCCCCCCCCCCCCCCCCCCCCCCCCCCCCCCCCCCCCCCCCCCCCCCCCCCCCCCCCCTCCTCTCTATATATCATTTATGATTCTGGAAACTACCCACCTACGCTGCAGTGTGAAAGCCACTCACGGGGACTCACAACGGAGTTAAATGTTTCATTAGCCACCGAACTTTACTCCTTGTCACGGCTTATTCACCGAACTTTCAAACTTATCCCATTGGCCACTGAACTTTAATCCGTTACTACCCATTACTCACCGGCTTATGTATGTTATGTTACGTTCCTACGTGACAGACGGAAAGTCCAGTTGGCCCGTTAATCAGCCCAGTTGTTTAATGTTTTCCCAATCAACGTCTACGTCAGCCTATACAAACACACCTTTGCAATATTCATTCACGTCTTTCACATTAATTAACCCCCAAATTCAATTCATTTCTTCTCTCCTCATTTCCTCCCAACGCGATATGTGCTCCATGAAACCCATGAATCCCCTGAGCCCGAAATCAAGAATTGTAATCAGCCAAGGTCCTTCCCGCCTTTGTTGACTAGTGCAAGAGCCCAACCGAACGTGAAGAGCCAAAGTCCTTCCGGCCCGCAGCAATGATGTGTACCCAATCAGTTCCTGTAGATGTTCCAACCGATGATGTGAACTTTGACGATATTGTGGATGACTTGAATAACTTGGGGGACGCGGAATTTGCAACTATGAGAGTGTGGAGGGCATGAAAATGACGACGCATTAAAGCTGAGTACATAAGCAGGAATGTGTTTTTAATGAAAATGTTTTTGGTTTTTTTGATGAAATCTATGATGGGAATTGTGGTCATCTTTTTGCCTTCTCCATTTTCCTACGTCGGTGTGGCAATTATTTTGAGGCAATTACGGACATTATGTGCAAATATATAAATCATAGGAGGATAGGACCTGGGCCTTTGTTGCAGTGAAGCAGCCATATACAGTAGAAGAACTCAAAGCATCTGCCATTTTAAAACGGACAGAGCAGTGGTTTTTTTTTTGGGACTGCATTCGAATCATGAATTTGTCTACTGATTTCATTTTGGATTGTAAATTCAAAAAATATTGTAAGAAGTTTGGTTTTTGGTATATATAAAGTTTAATATTTTGTCTCAATTTCTACCTAATTATCCTTTCTGCTCAATTTTTACCGGCGTGAGCTACGAATTGAATAGATTTGAGGACCATAGCGACTTCGCGTGAGAGAATTGATTTGGGAAAAATTGATTTCAGGAGCTTAGGGTTTGGTAATTTCATGGACAAAGTCGTGTTTTATTTAGGTATCAAAGCCGTGTTTTGTAGACTATTTCTAACGTGGCGATGACGGGGAGCTGATTTGGCACTCAACTTACCATATGGAAAGAGTTAACTGACAAGTCATTATTCCGTCCTCCACATCAGCAACAATTCAAACGGCATTCAGTTGGATGAGTGATGGACACTAACGAAGTAAAGTTCAATGGCTAATGGGACAACTAATGAAGTTTGGTGAGTAAACCGTGACGTTGTGTAAAGTTCAGTGGCCAATGAAATATTTAACTCCTCACAACGGTGAGGCGTACCCTCTATTCACCAACCTTCATTCGTTCCACTACCTTATATTTAGATTCTTCTCTAGAGCAGCACCATTAAGTCTTCCATTTCTGTCTCCCGCTCCTTTATCATCCACTATTTCAGATGTATTACTTGCTCTCTCCGCTCCACCAGTGCCACTACCGTCGAGGTTGGAATCGACGATGAGGTCTAAGAAAGTTCTAGAATAGTTAAGGATAGCATCACCGTCGGGATTGGAATCAACAGTGAAGTATAAAGAAGTGCTAAAATAGTTGAAGATGGTATTGTGACTCAATAAGTGAAAATATGTTGATGAAGTAGAATTATCAATTTCTGATCAGTTTGTATGATAAATTCTATATTACGGAATTTAAAATGCTGGTTTCTGTTGGTGGTGGAATTTGGGGGAAGTCATGCTTGGAGTTTGGAGAAATTCGTGCTTGGTGGTGTGATGTCGTTAGTGCTAGTGGTTGGTACTTATCGAAGGTGTTGGTGGAAGTGATGGTGGTGATGATTGTTTTTGTGGATTTGAGGTGAAAGTAGGTTTGAGTTAAAGGTGGTGCAATGGAGCTGTGGATTGTGGTGCTGGTCTTCGGTGTGTACAGATTTATTTGTGTTGACCCTCTGTGACCAAGTATGTGTTTATTGTGATCGGGTGTGACCACTTCCATCTTCATTGTGATTGTATTATGTGACCACATTAATGAGTCACAACTTAGATTGATCTTATCGCAAACAATCACACTAAATGCAAATATGGTTACAGTTAGTCACAGATAACACATTTCCGTGACTTGGTTACATTCAGTCGCAAATTAAACTGACTTGATTACAGACGGTATGGTCACAATTAGTCACAGATAACACATATATGGTCACAAAAAATAAATCTGATCACATATAACAAATTTAGGCACAAATCTCGTCAACCACAATGCAACACTGTTGCCACCACACAGTACACAAAACGTTGCTAACACTTCACCACCCCATCCCTACCACTACCACAATCAAACCATAGTTGTCAAACTCAACCCGGACAATGCAGTAGGTCAATGGGTTAGTGGTTCAACTGGTGACCTGGTGGTTCAACCGATGGATCATTGCATAAAAACCTACAAAAAAATATAAAATATAAATTTTGTTTTAAAGGCAAAATTAAAATTTTAATTTATTTTTCAGTAGTTATTCAAGTCTATAAAATAAAGTACAAGGTTGAATGAAATTTTTTTTAAAAATTTGTTTTATAAAACTTATAAATTATTCATTAAATAGATATAAATTATTTCCACATAAATAATATTAAAACACCATATCTCAAGTGGTGAGGAACTCATTAATTTCATTAAAGGTCCAATGTTCAATTCTCTTGGACTCTAAAATTTTGTAAGAGAGTTTTAAAACACAATCAAACTAGTCAATCGAGCCGGGTAAATTGCCAGTTAACTAGGTCAAAACCCAATTTTGACCGAATCAAGTGCATTTCGATTAAATTAATATGTCCGGCCCGGCCAAGGGTCCGGGCCGATCGTCCGGGCCGAGTTTTATAACCATACATCAAAGAGATCAACTCCAATGCATTTCATCACTCGCAATGCACCATCACAGCCACCATGCAGATCTATTTTCTAAACACTGTGTCACCTCATCACCACCGTCTGCAAAGTTATTTGTGTCTGTAAATGTATATAAAAAGAGATAGTTTCTGTAGAGAGAGAAAACATTTTTTTTATTTTTGGAATTTTCTACAGTGCGGTAGTGTGGGAGTTAGGTCCGTCGGGTGGGAGGTGTAGAAAGATTTGAATTTCTGGAGATTTCTGTAGTGGGTGGGGTCCTCGGGTGGGGATATAATATCATATGTCAATTGACATATAAAGAGAATTAATGTATATTATATTAATTATATATTTAATAATTTGATTTACCACCTAATTTATGAAAGTCTTTAGGGAGTTTGTTAGTTTAGAAATATGGTTTTTATAATGTAGTAGTTATGTATTGTTCGCGATATTTTTTATGAATAAGATTTTCTAATTAATGAAAGATTGGAATAGAAAAGTGATAAAAACTCCATACTTAACCTTATAGTTAACGACAGCGGTGTCTTCCAACTCGCCAAACACTTTCAATCGGATTTTCTTTCTTCACCCTTTGTTATACCTATACCTATAGGCTATAGTTAAACCACTTTTTCACAAAACTTTTAAGTTAGATTTTTTTTTTAAAAATAACAATAGAATGAAAACAAAAGGCTAATCGACCACACTAGAAGATAAATTAATCAAGGTTCACAAACAACTATCCCACCCCACCTAGTGTGTTTGAATCTAATTTTGAGGAGAATACTTTAAAACCTTATCACTAACTACACTCTTACATACCACCTTTTCACTACTTTTCAAAAACTAAACACACATTATAATAAAATAAACTTCTTACTGTGGTTGAAATGAAGAATGAGAATGAGAGTGGGAATGAGAATGAAAAATTAATGGGTGCCAAACGGGAGCGAAGAAAAATTATGTACGATTATTCAATTTTGGAAGAAAAGTCTTGCAAACCCTTCAACTTTTCAGTTTCAAACTGCTTTAACTTTTGGATTTAAAAACACTCCTTGAAAAGTACCCCCCCCAACCCACCTACCTATCCACTGCCATGGGTGTTACATGGGGTCTTGTTAGGTCAAAATGACACCACAAAATTTCTAAAATTTAAGAGCACGTTCTCTTTATTGTTTTCAGGTCATTTTCAATTTTCGAAAATATTGAAAACACGTTTACTAACCAATTTTAAGAAACAAATTTCAAAAAACTAGTTTAAAATTTGCAAAGAAAACGGAAAACCCAAAAATAGTTGTTTTGACTATTTTTAAGTTAAAATTAAGTCAAATTTTCATTTTTTTTATTTTTGAAAACAATTTTTCAAAATGACAGAAAGAACACGTTTTCAACAATTTCAAAATGGACATTCAAATCACAACTCAAAATGAATTCAAAACTAAAAAGTAAAATACGAAGATAACAGACTCTAAAAGTTCAAAGAGTTTTGTTTCGTGGGACTCAAGGGTAAATGCATTGGAAGAGGAGAATATTGAATTGTGGCTTTTTGCGTGGAGAGATGAGAGAGAAGTGTTGAATGATTTTAGGAGAGGAAATGAATTTCTTTCGTGTTTGTGAAGTGTAGAAGAGCTTGTGTTGATTTTGGAGATGTATTATCGATGGCGTAGGCTGATAAAACGAGGGGTCAACTTTTCACGTTTAATGATTTCTACATGGGGCAAAATTGTGAGAGAGGATAAAAAAATGGCGTTACTCATTATCATTATTATTTATTTTGTGAAGCATGTTTGGCTAAGCTTGAATAGTTTATTGGGTTAATTTCAACAATGGTCACTCTTTAATGTTACGTTAATGGTAATTGAATAGCTTATTTGGTTAATTTCATTTTCTTTTTTCGATATGATTATCCCAGGATTTTAAATTAGTAGAGATCTTAACGCTTATTAAACAAATTACTGATAATCTAATTGTGTATATTGACGATAATTATTTGAAAATATTGAATTAGTAGAGATCTTAACGCTTAATAAACAAATTATTGATAATCTAATTGTGTATATTGACGATGATTATTTGAAAATATTGATATCAATGTAAGTATAAAGCGTTTGCAAAATATGAAAAAGACTAGACAACATATTTAGTAACATATTCAAATATTTTCATTAATGTTACATTGCTTTAAAAAAAAAACAATAAGACCATGTTTGATAAGGCAAGTTCTCCATGAAAGATGGAAAAACTTTTTGCAATTCTTCACCTTTTTAGAGTGTTTGACAGGAAATATTTTCAGGTAATTGATTTTCCACATTTTCTTGATTTGTCACATTTTCTTGCTTTTTGAGGTAAATCAATTCTCACCATTTTGATGGGAATTGGTTTTCTAGGTAGCTTTTTTATTTTTTGCAATGGAAACAAATTATATCCATAATTGTAACAAATTATATCCATTTAATGAACAATTTTCATGAAAAACAAAGTCAAACGAACACTAAAAGATTCAAAATTTCAATATTTTCGAAGTGGAAAATTATATCAATCAAACACAATTAATTGACAATTCTCAGTCAAACAAGTTCTAGGCAATTCAATTTCATAGAATTCATTTTTTCCAACCAAATTCCATTCTTACAATCAAACGAACACTGACAAAACTTCCGATTCCATAAAGAAAAATACTTGATTTCCCTGGTTTCAATGTCATGAGAAAAGAGAAAACACAAAAAGATGAAGTTTTCGAAAAATGACAAAATCTCAAGAGCCTTCCAACCTTGAAAAAACGAAAAAGACATACAAACCATTTGAATCTAACAAGAGAATAAGTACTAATGCAGGAGAGATTTGTATATACTAGTAGTAAGTACGTGCGTTGCACGTCTTATATATCGAGTGAATTATATTTGTAATAATTTTGAAATACTAATATTGTTTTTAAAATAGTGAAGATAATTAATATTTTTAAAGGAAAAAATAAAATTATTAAAAATACATACACATTGATTCATGCAAAATTATTAAACCATAATTGTCAAAGTTGAATATATTTGCACATATACTAATGTAATATAATCTCTCCTAAAGGTAATTATTAAATCCTAGTTTAATAAATAATAAAACAGCTAAATAAAAATCATACAATCAGAAATATTTAAAATATAAATCGTCAAGCCAGAAATAAATCACAATGATGGAAATGTATCTAACATAGATGTCCAGTCAAAGATTGCTTCACAAATTCATAAATATGAATAAAAAATAATGCATATTTGCATGGATAAAATGAGACAACAATACAGTCGGATAATATTTAATAACATTTAACTTTGTATAATAATTCAATAATATTTAATTCATTAATTTGTACAGTAACCCTGTTAATATATAATTCTACATTTGAAGTGATGATCCCAACCGACCGAATCCGAGTCGTGACTTTAATTGATAACAACTTTGTTGTGTGTACATAACACTGTACACACAAAAAATGGACAGAATGCACACATATGCGGGGTCCAACTTTTTTTGTTTTTCAATATTTTATTCATGCGGAGCCCACCTCTCATTTGAGATTTCTGTATATTCTAAAATACTATTTCTGTACAAATGGTTTGATAATTAGCCATTATATAATTAGCTAGAAAGAACAGCAATATGTATTATCTATTTTATACGAGAATCTTCATGGAGTTTACAATACTTCGTAATGTTTTTTATTAGTCAAAGATATTGTGATTCCTCTAAGCATCGAAGTCATCATCTTGATTTTTTGTCAAGTCCTTTGCTTCTAATTTACTTTGTGGTTGGTGTTGGCCATGTTTTCTTTGAAAGACTATGTTTGTACTATATCATTTTCTCATTTATTTGATTTTACTTGATAGACTGATTTGACAATTGGGCTTAACTTGATTTCCATTTTTACTTCTGGTAACTATTATTTGATTTGAGTTTAACTTGAAACCATTCTCAATAGCAATAATGTTTAAATTCAGACATCAAATAAAAGATTATTTCAAAAAAATGGATTGTAGAATGATCAAAATAATTTATACACTATGCCATTTTTAGTATTCTCAAGATATTGTTTATATTTTTGTCATCATTAAATCGATGACCAAAAACTCAAAGTTCGGTGTTGAATAAAATTTTGTCCGCCTTGAAAAATATTACTTGCTTTGGACTGCGCCCACTAGACCCCATATGTGTGTGGGCAGTATGGTGTGTGTGTGTGTGTGTGTGTTCTATATATTAAAAGTGGCTATGTAACGGAATTTCTTGTTTTTAACGGAAAAACTAACGAATTTGTTGTTTTAACGGATTATGTAACGAAATTTCTTATTTTAAACAGGCAGCTGCACCTTCTTTCAATGTTTTTATCACAACTTTGTATTCCGATATCCGATTGAGACGATTCAAATGCGTTGGAAAGCTAACTCATCTGACTACAACTTTGATTCGGACATCATTCTTCAATTCGATCACTTTCTATGCCAAAAATAGGTCTCAATATGAGACTAAAA